CACCACTTGCTCTTGTTGAGGTCAGACGCTTTTCCCCTCCCTCTCTGCTGTGCTGCTCTCTCTGTCTGTGAAACTGACACACACACACAAAAAAAAGAAAAAAGAATTTCCAACTGATCAACAAAGAGGAAAACAGCTGAATAAACATTGTGTCGTCATTTCAGGACTCTTGGATTCCCATAGGCATTTTCCTTGGCATTCCCTGATATCCCTTGTTAGGGATCTCACCGGAGGAAACTGGCTGAATATTCCATCCATTACCGTGACCTCAAGAGTGTCCAAGGACATTGCTCACTAGGGGTTGAACAACTACATAATTTTTAAACTTGACATGAACCTAATGAAACTCGAGTAGAACTCGAATACTTGATGACATCATAGGATCTAAAGAAACAAAAATAAATAAATAAATAGAACTGCAAAAAAGGTAATTGTTTACCAAAAAAAAAAGACCAACAAAAAATTGGGAGCATATATTTTGCTCCTACCATTTATCATACAGCAAATAAGTCACAGGAAAAACTAAACTATTAGTTTTTATTATTAAGCTGCAAACGTGAAGAAACGTGCAGCACATCAGAAACGAAACTAAAAACAGTGGGTGGTCGACCACCCCGCACCACCGCCAGCTGTGGTGCGCATTAAGTTTAGTTTTAGAGGTTAATATGTTTATAGATTTTTTTTTATAGGTTTAGAGATTAATATTTTTTGCTTTTTGTTTGTGAAACAAGGTCAGAGGAAGCTGGTTCTGGTTCGGTCGATTGGACCCGGTGTTACACCATATTCTGTGACTTGCGACAGTGCATGCAACACCGCCCCCTACGGTCACAAAATAATGGTGTAACACCGGTTCGCAACGAGCTCCAAACAGTCAGGAAGTTTATTCATTTTCTGTTTCCTTATGGTAGTTGAACCAGAAGATTCATCTTTAGTGAAATATTTCCAGATTATTGATGCATTTCTACCTGTTTGCTAAGACTGGGTCTGCTCTGCTCCATCCGTCTGCTTGGAGGAATCCATATTGTAACCCGCGCCCGGTGCGAATCACGTGACGCGATGACGTAACAGTGGCGTAATGACGTCACCACGAATACTCGACATGAAATTAAAAACCTCGATAGGTGTCCTAGGAATCGATATGTAGATTACTCGAGCAGTCTGTTGTAGATGAACAGATGCTCAGATATATTCATCAATTAACACGGATTCCTCATTTTTCTGAACTGAATAAAACGTGCATTGAATTTAATGAAATGCAAACGTGAGACGTCATTTATATTTGACCCATCAAAATGAATGCGGTCATTTATTTACAGAATCAAAGTTTAACATCAAACATTTACATTAATTTGGCAAATTATGAAAATAACAACATAAGCAATCACTCAGGAAAAATCATACGGCCATGATTTTTCCGTTGCGTCACCACAGACATTTATGAAAACTGTACAATTATGATCTTTTACCCACACGGATGTGGATGAGCACTTTACACAGACATTTCTAAAATATCTGGAAGAATATCTACTTGATAGAAGAGTTTAAAGATGGGAAAGAAGTTTAGAGGGAGTAAGATGGTGTTTGAGGGAGTGTTGACAGAACGGCACTCTCCGGGCTTTCTTCAGCTTTTCCTTACA